TTATTGTTATTGTTATGCCATTTCTTGCTATTGTCATTCATTCTTCTATTGTATGACATTGGATTTCTATGTCTTTTTTTGCTTTTCTTTACAAGACACATTGTTATTATTACAAAGCCATGGCATTAAAATTTGTTGTATTTCCCGCATTGGAAAAGAATCTCCTTTATTAGGAAATTAAAAAAAAAAATACATAAGTTATAATTCAAATGATAGTTGTTGGATGGTTTATGAGTATTATCATAACATTAACATTGACAATCATTCTTCTTGCTTTTTTGGGCACGGCTTCACATTTCATAAGTGATGAAAATAAAATAGCAATTATAAGAATGATCATTGGAATAGGGTATTGTGTGTTTGTCACTGTTATTCTTGACGTCCCTCTCAATTTTAATATTCCTGTATTATCAACGTTATTTCATCTAACCCAAATCGTTGTTCTTTTTATTGGATTTATATATTGTGTTTATCAACAAACTGATCAAATATATTGTCTTAATTCACTTTTCATCATACGGGCACTTGTTGTTGCACCAATAATTGAAGAAACATTATTTAGAGGAGTGTTTATACCATACCTGTTGACAAACGGATGCACATCAATATTTACATTTATCTATTGTTCAATGCTTTTTGGACTTGCACACATCAACCACCTAATAACAGAAGATGTTATTGATAAAGCTGCTATCATCAATACAGTGATACAAGTTGGATTTACTACATTATTTGGAATGTATTCATCATATGTTTTCTTCAGTACAAAATCGGTAATATCATGCATTTTATGCCATGCAGTTGCAAATTACTTAGGATTTCCTGATTTTACAACAATGTCAGATAAAAGTTTGTATATTTTATTTTAGTTGATTGAATTATAATTTATAAGTAGAAACCGCAATCATTTATTTAATTGGAGTAACGTTATTTATTGGATCATTCTTCATTCATGGCATTCTCTTTTAATTAAATTATTGGGGACAATTTTTCATTTTGTTTATTCAATAACAATATCATTTAATTAAATTATAAATATTATTTTGTATGATAAGAATAAAATGATTTGTGTTATTTAAAAAAAGTATTGAAATGGGTAATTTAACAACAAAAATGTCAAATCCTTCATGAGTTTGTTGAAATGTTTATTCGTATAATCTGGTAAAAAGTAGAATAGAAATATAAGTGAATGATTATGAAACATGGATTACCCAATCAGAAATAACAATATAAATAAAACAAATAGAAAGCAAACAAAGAAAGAAGGAATAACAATATGAAAAAAGAAATAGAGAAATAATCTAACAGAAACTACGAACTAAAAGAAATAAAAAAACAAGAAATTAAAAGTATGAAATTGGTACAGATGAAAAGATAAAGAATTTTGATATTCACCATACTTTGACTAATAAATAATAGAAAGAATGCATATAAATATAATATAAATGAAACGAACAAACAAGTGTTTGAAGCAGAAAATAAACAACAATGGAATAAAAATACAATCAAATATTTAATTTTCTCAAAAAAATAAGAAATTGATAAAATATAAGATATATTAATTCTAAAAAAGTAGTATAGTAATGATGTTACTATTTATTTTCATTAAAACTAAACTAAATAATTATAGATAATAAAAATATATTTGTTTATACAATACACCATATCTTTATTTAATACTTAGACATTGGCTAAATTAATTTTTAAAGAAATCGTCAAAATGTAATATTTCTTTTTATACAGATTGAATGAAATGGAGTATCAAATCTTTCTTGGAAAATACATTTCAAACCAATCCACACTAAAACAAATTTTAGGTATTGAAACTCTTATTCATAAAGACACATTTTAAATACATAGTATTAAACAACATTAACCTGATTCATTGTTTTCTTATGCTCTATTTTATTTCTAACAAATTTTTGAGTCAGACGTTTTTTATTCATAAGTGAATATAATTCTTACTTCTATAATAAGTTTTAAATGAAAACAATTGATATGTCTCAAATAATTTTATTGAATATAATAATGAACCTTTTTTACATCTAAATAAAAATATTTGATTTTATATCAAAACTACGCAATCAAAATTATATAATTTATGACATTAACTATACTTGAAAAAGAACTTTAGACTCTTAATGATATTATTATTTCAAATAGTTATTCTAATATAAACCTGTCATAAAAATCTTGAATAATAAAATATTTATAAACAAAGTCCCATAACAATACTAAGTAATGAAACTATTTGATAGTCTAGACAAGGACAGCAAAAGGAAAATATCCATTATAAAGTCTTTTGTTTTTTTTAAGGAATTGTTATATAAAAATAGCTTTAAATGAAAATATAATTTATATACTAACAAAGAATATACATTATATCAAAATATAGGCATTAAAAAAAATAAGTTATAGAAACAATGAATCTAATTGTAAGTTTTCATTGAAGACATTCTCTAAAAATAATTTACATAGAACGAAAAAATAACTACAAAATTGGAGAAGAAGATAAAAAAGAAATAGATTTTATAAAAGAGAGAAGAGTCTAGAGAAGTAACTTATAAATTTAATAATGGTAATAATATTTTAATAATATTAGACATTATTTTTCATTTAAAAAAGGTAGTTTTAATTATATCTCTTTTGAAAAAAAAAACTAAGAGATAAAGAATGAAGAAAGACATTTAGTGTCACAGTTGAGACGTTTCATTTTATAAAAGTATTAAAGGATTAAAATAAGTCACAAAAATGTTAAACCCTTTTCCAAAAATAATATAAAAGAGTATTAAAAATGAAAATAATAGAATAGAAGAACTAAATAATAAGTCAAAATAGTGAAATTAACGTAAAAGAAAGTGAAATGAGTTTCAATGGATCATTCAATAAACATTACATTCCAGTGTATCCACCACATATAAAAAAAGAAGAGGGAAGTAAAAAAATAAAAAGAAAAAATGGAACGAATGAAATTCAAAAATCACAATTAGTTTTGAGAGATTTTTTAAATTATATTACAAGTGAACAAGCTATTTTTATAGGATTATTATCTTTAGAAGCAAAAGTTATTATTGGAAAACCATTAAAAAGGAGTTCAGTTACTAGACAATATTTAAGAGTAATAAGTATTGAATTTGATGATGGAAGGATTATAGAATGTGAAAATGAAGTTGAAGCAAAATGTATAGAAAAAAAGAAAAATGACATTAAAAATGGAGTAAGTGAAAAAACAGCAATAAGAAGATTTAAAACAAATAAAAGAACTGAATCAACAAATATATTAATTAGTTTTTTAAAAAAAATGGGATATAATTTTCAGTCTCGATTAACAGAAGGAAAGAAAGATACATCTAAATTAGAAACCGTATATAAAATATGTAAAAATAATATAGAACTAATGGATTCAAATCAAATTGATCAAATTGGTGAACAAATTAATAAATTTTTATTCAATTTAGTATCTAGTGTAGTTGATCCTGTAGTTATATCAAATAATGAACAAATTAAAAAGCTTTTACTCCCTGTAATTAAAAAAGATTATTGAATATTGATAAATTTATTATTCATTCAACTTTTATTCTTCATTTCTCTTTTCATTTCCATTTAGTTGATTAGAACTCATTTTTCATTTTAATATGTTTAAAAGATCTAAAAGCAAAATTGAACCTTTTAAATCATTTAAAATACAACATGAAATTGAATGTATGGCATTTTCACCAACTACTAACTCAATTATAATTGGAACTACAACTGGTAAATTATTAGTTTTTAACTCAATTGATTATTCAAAACAAAAAGAAATTCAAGTCTCTGGATTTCCTACTGGAGCATTAGCAAAACAAAAAATTATTGGAATACTCAAATCAAAAGATAAAATGGAAGAAGTTAAAGAAGTAATGGAAATGGGTAATTCAACTGAATTTCCAATGGGAGATGCATTAAAAAAATATGACATTGGAGTTGATGAAATTGCTTCTTCTGGTGGAATTAAATGTGTTAGTGTTGTACATGATTTAAAAGTTGCAGTTGGATTTAATTCTACTCTTGGACTAATTGACTTATCTACATGTGGTGAAGTAGTAATTATTGAAGAAACAACATTAGGTCATTCAGGAATGGTACGTCATATTGATGTTTTTAATAACAAAATCATTTCATTAGCTAATGATCGTAATATTTGCATTTGGGCTAGTGATGGTAAACTTTTAAAAACACTCCCAAGAACAGATGAAGATGAATATTATAATACATCATTACTTACAACTCAAGGTGATTTATTAGTTTCTGGAAGTAGACAATCAAAATATATGAATGAAAAAGGAGATATAACTCAAGTCTTTGAAGTAAGTGCATATACTATTCCAAATGATCCAACAAATGCAAAATTTATTAAATACTTTCATCATAATAGAACATCACCACATCATAATGTTATAGTTTCTATTCAATTATTAGAAAATGGAAAAATTATTACAGGAAGTCAAGACGGTGTATTTGCAATTTGGGAAGAAACTGAATATCGTTGTTTATTTATCAAAATTAATTCAAGTCAAATAGAATATACTAAACTAAAACAAAACTGTCCTGTTCATTGTGCTGTTTATTGCGATAAATTATTAATTGTTTCTATGAGAGATTATATAGCAGCATTTGACACAAGTTATCGTGAAGTTACTCCTCAAAGAAAACCTAGTGAAGAAAAATCAATGATGCCTTTTGGAAGATATAAACGAGATATTACTGATATCTTCTCAGTTATGAAAAGTGAAAAAAAATATTGGCTTTATCTTGTTGTGTCAGAAGCTGGAGAAATTAATGTTGTTACCTTTGACCCAAATAGCAAACCTGCATTTACTAAAACTCAAACTTTTACTTCAGATGGAAAAATTACTTCCTCTATAAGAACTCAAAAATCTTTGTTAATGGGTTTTTCAAGAGGTACAGTAATGGAAATTATGTTCTAAATTTTTATTCTTTTCTTATGTTTTTTTTTCACTTTCTGACTTTTTTTATTCTTATCTAAATTTAGATACTAATGACGAACAAGAAAATAATTTTTAAGAAATTATTGATAAATTTAATCTTATTCTTATTTAGAAGATCAGCAGAAGAAAAAAATCGATCTTCACCAAACCCATATATTCAATACGATTCTAGAGTTTTAGTATTAAATTAATAAAAAAAAACTATACCTTTAAATATGAAAAGAAGAAAAAATGCCTATTTGAGTTAAAAATAACTCAGATGCATGACAAAAAGAAAAGGCAGACAAAAAGAGACAATAAAAGTGGGACTATAAATCTCAAAATCAACTTTATTCGTTTCAATAGAAATGAAATTCTTTAGTGGATTACCTACCTTAACAAATCAAGACAAGTTTAATATTGCTCAAATTGCAATTATTTTACCTATAGTCCTTCTTTGTATTCCAACATCTTTCAATAGAAGAAAAGAACTCAAGAGTGATCTTTTACCGAATCCACTTGTTCTTCTATGGTCTTTTATTCCATTTGTATTAATCTATGCCTTAAGAGTTCTTTGTATTGAACATATATTTCCTAAACTAGGTGATAAGTTCATATTTTATAAGTCTTATTGGGAACCAGGAGTTAGAGAATTTAGAGTCAAACGATTTGCACTTGTTTTATTTAAAGCTATTTACTTTTGGATTAGTGCTCCATTAGGAATTTTATTATTTAGGTATGAAGATTGGATGCCTAGTGCATTATTTGGGAAAGGAAAACAAGACCTTGAGTTATTATGGGAAAATTACCCTTACCAAGAACAATCTCCAATGCTTAATGTATATTATTGTTGGGCACTTGGATATCATTTTCATTCTCTTGTTTTCCATATGCAAAGTGAGAAAAGAAATGACTATTTTGAAAATTTATTGCACCATGTTGCTACAGTGTTTTTAATTATATTTAGCTTCTGTAATAATTGTGGAAGAATTGGTGTTTTAGTAT